TTACCTCTCGGTCGACGCTGTCAAAGGCCTTCTCAAAGTCGATGAAGTTGAGGTAGAGGATTGACTGCCATTCTATGCTCTGTTCTATGATGATGCGTAGTGTGGCGTTGCAATTTGGTCCGCAAATGATTTGTGCTTCCTGAAGCCTGCCTGTTCCGGTCGCAGTTTTGAATCCAGTGCATCCTTTAGCCTCTCCAGGATGATGCGGCTTAATATTTTGCTTTGGGTGGACAGGAGAGTGATTACGCGCCAGTTCTTGCAAACACTGAGGTCTCCCTTCTTCGGGAGTTTGACAAGGTAGCCCTTCTTTCAATCAACCAGCAGGTACCTTCTCTTCCTTCCACACCTTCTGAAGTCCTTATACTTTTAGGTTGTCACTGTTGAAATCCAACGCAATGTATCCTGGCACACTAAAACGCAGAGGTACTTTAAAGCAGCAGTGTTTGTAAGATAGACATAACTGCGCATTCATTTTTTATCCTGCCGGCTCTGAAATATTGTAGTTGCTTAGGGATTTAATGTTCTCCCGTTTCATGTTTTCATGAACACGACGGTCGACGTCACTTCATGTAATTTTCAGTGCTGGTTTGTGACCGAGCGAATTCTCCACAAGCACTTTGAAGGTAATGTCTCTTTAAATGAGTAGCATGTGAATATTTTTCAACATATCTGGATTTTATACAATATCTGCAGATTTTAGGAAGCACGTCGTTTACTGCATAGTTGATAACTAGACAACTTAGCGAATATATGTTGCTTTCTTGGGAATTGAGATATTTTTAATCACAACACCTGCTGATTGTCGTGGATTCTTAAAAACGATCATTGTCGACTTCAGCTTAATGGTATTTCTATTTTCACACAAGAAACATTCGGAAACTTGCTTAACATACGGTCTCGACTTTGTTACTTTTGCCCAGTCGGTTGAAGGACTTTAGTCGTGTTACTGTTAAAAGTTCTTGCAAACTTGATACACACGAATTCATTACGTTATATCATACGATACAATTTAAGAAAGAAGTATGTACAACTCCTTTCTTTGCCGTGGCCATTGTAGAAAATCGATTATTTTTGATAATTCCCTTATGATGTAACTATATTTTATCTTTTAATCATTTATTTTCTTTATGTATATATATTACTCTGGAATATTCTACCATTTCTACTATATGTTCACGAATGTTACAGCTAGGAGAATTATTTTGTCGAAAAGAAAATTTTTTTCCAGCTGCAGTCATCTCCCTTTTCCTATGACCACATGGGGTTGTTCCGATTCCATTTTTTATTGATCAATTTGATGTATCGCATAGTGTAACAGTATTCCTCACTGGATTACGTTTCGGACATAATTTATTGTCTATAGTCATATCAAGATAACTACATAACTTTGAGATATCCTTTATATAGTCCTAATTTCCTCACCCCCTTTGTGACACGGGTAGTAAGACTTTCCGTACATCCGAAGCGGGCGCTGAGTCATTCCTGTTGCATGTATTGGGTGTTGATTCGATAAACAAAGATTCAGTTACCAATCTGTCACTCCACCCTGTTATGTTAGCCTTAAGGATTTTCACCCTGTCCCTATCCTAGTGTGTAGGCGTGTGTAATCGCATGCACGTCTATGGCTGAGGTTTTTTCTAGACTTTTTTTAACATTACTAGGACCTATCAATATTGAGCTAGCTAGGTTTTTGTGCTCGGATAGCCTAATTGACCCTGGTCTATTACTTTGATCTATGTGTTTGACCTCGTAATAGTTGCAAGGGATTTGGTAAACCAAGTTATTCTGCCGGCCTTCTTGAGAATCCTAAGTAGTTTCTGAGGCTCTTTCTTTGTATGGTAATACTGTAGAGGTTTCGAATTCTCTCTTCACAGTATTGCCACTACTATTACCATTATTATTACTGTTATTATTGCTATTGTTACCACTATTATTATTAATAATACCTGTGTTACTAATATTTTTCTTATGATTCGTAAGGAACTTATCAATCATTTTGGGAGGGTAATTGTTGATGAGTAAGGTATCTTTAGTATATTTGGTTTCTTGTCTTAGATCTTTTGTTTTACTAGTAGGTTTTTTGGCCCTGTTACTTAGACACTTTACTCAGCCAACTTTAACTGACATAGGGTGAGACGATTTGAAGTTTAAGTAACGATTTGAATGTGAAGGTTTTCTGTAGACCCTAGTGTCTAAATTCCCATCTTGTTTCCGTTTCATTCTACAATCCAACATCGCTAATTCCCCTTCACTATTTTCGAATTCGTAGGCGAATTGGATTACGTTGACTACTGAATTTTTTCGGAGCTGAGCTAAATTGTTCTGCAGCCATCCGTTCCCAACTATCCATAAATATGCCAGCTACAATAGGGGATGTTGGTGATCTCCTTCTGTTTGTTTGTATATTTCATTCTGAAACCTAAATATCAGGGAAGTTAGGTTTAACCGTATTTTTAGCATGATATCATCTACTGTGCCTTAGTTCGTAGTGTAAGCTCATGGTCATTATTAAGCTTGTTTCTGATCGCTTCCAGAGCCATGCCAATCAGTATATTAGTATACAAACTAACTACATCAAAACGAACCATTTTTTTTCATCGTCATCTAAATGTATGTCAGCTAATATGTGCTTCAAGTCATAAGAGTTAGTAAGTCTTGATTTCGAGTGGTTTCTAATTGGACCTAGTATTATCACTAAATATTCAGATAGGTCATAAGTAGGAATGTTTCTAAAGTCTACTGTGGTCTAATAGGATAGCCTGGTTTATGAATTTTAATAGTACCATAGATCCTACTGGTATTATTAGTTTTCGGCATTAAATTAAACCATTTTGACTCACGTAGAAACGGCTTCATTCGGTGTACTAGATCCACCGGTTTTTTAAAAACTATATTCATATTAGTGTCCATTGGTTTCTTAATTTCTTCGTATGGTCCTGTTTCTATGTGTTCCTTGACTTTCTGAATATAATCAGACTTGTTTAACACTACTGTTGATTTTCCTTTTTTCGATTTAGCAATTACCATATTTTTGTCATTTCGAAGGTTCTTCAAAGCTTCTTTTCTGCTTTTGGTAAATTGTGTTTTGTCTTCTTCCGTCGCTTAAGTGTTAGAGCACACTGGGCTCGAACCTAATCAGCCACTGCCTTATCTACTGAACTTATTGTTATTTAAAGTTTTAGGAATGATATCTTCAGGTTTCAATTCATTAACTGCTACATTGAAGTTAAGTTTCTTTTTCAGTACCCTTACTTCTGCTGAGCTTAAAACCTTAGTTTAGAGATTGACAGTCCACTTTGTTTTATCGTTGGCTGGTGATATGCTAATGAGAATTTCATTGTTCTCCACTGGATACTTTTCTTCCATTAGCGAGAATAGCTGTTAACCCTTTAGGACAGCACCACTTATAAACAGAAAAGACAGAAATAGCTCAGGTAGACTAAACCTTTTGTGCTGAAAATTCCCTCTATGCAAATTATAACAAGACAGATCTAGTTGAAAACAATATTGTTCGCTTACATGTCTTGTTGTAAACCTTTTGTAATTAGTTTGAACTGTGAGTATGGATATACTGCAGAATAGAAAACATCTAATCCTGAGAAGTGTTGATTTTCGTTATAGTAGTTAGTGATGATATAACTATCCGTTCTTTGTTTTATCTTGCGGAAGAATTGTTAATCCATTCAACTTCGGCACTGTTCAAAAGAAATTTGGTAGTATGAAAACGGAATTTGGACACTATGGTCAAGTATAGTTCCATTACAGTACTTTTCTTATGTGTAATCACGCAGTGAAACAAGTGTTTAGTGATGACATTTCGAGTAGAATTTATTGTTCATGGTAATATGAAGGTAACCGTACAACTTTGTGGTTAAACTAGCCGACCGGGGCCAGTTAGTTTAGGAGAACAAAGAAATTCAGCTAAATATAAAATGCTAGACCCTAATAAGAAAATCGATCTAGAAAACGACCCTGCCATGGTCATACATGTTGTTACATACAATTACTCAATGAGATGATATAGAGCGACAATTTTTAAAACTGACGTGAGTATATGGACAGATAGGTTGATAACTAAAGATAAGTTTGTCAAATCGACACCTGGCACATGTAATAGAAAGGAGGCAACACGGATTCTGGATACTTGAAAAATTTTGCTTTTTATTAAATCAAGGAATGAAAAACGGTAGGTCTATAGAAACTAGGCCAAAAAGTTAAGTAATTATATTGACGTGACTGTACGCAATAGATTTTGCTGGGAAATTCATCAGTAAATAATTCTGTTTCGCTGTGTAATACACGTAAAAATAAGACCAGAATGGAACTGAGTAAATTATGAATTACCCTGACGTCTCAGCAGACTGAGGGTTTAAAGACCAGTATCAGTTATCTACACATTTAATGTGCTTGAGCATCAAATCTGCGTAGCAGCAGATTTTATAGAAGTTTTCATGCTCAATGTCTGTATTAAGCTTTTCGACATCTGTGTGAGCAAGCGTTTACAGCTTATTGCGTGATGTATATTAATGTAGTAGTTTTCAGCCCACCATTTTTGAACAATATTGAAGTGAATTTTGTTTCATCCTCCTTCTTCAAAATGGTCATTTCAGTTTTACAGAGATCAAGTGGCTAAATGTCACGCAAGTCATATCAAAGTGCATGAAAACTATCAATAAGTAGTGGAGCGAATAGTAATGGTTAGCACTAGTGGACTAATATCACATTATGTTGAAAACAACGTGGGTTTTCGGGAAGGCAACAATTTTATGTATGTAAGAGTATCACAGGTAAACCGTAGATAAGAGTCACAAATCTTTTAGTATCATAAAGCAATTCTGACGTCAGGTTTCAGCATGTGTTAAGCAGGTAGTGCGCACGTTTACGTCGTAGTTGTCATAAGAAAATTGTCTGCGCACAAATGGTCATTCTTATATACTGTTAGTTATTTATGTTCTTTTAATGAATCAAAAAACCCTTTTTTTATCTCCTTACATTTATAGAGTGAAATTATTAACCTTTCCCGGCAGTATATCAAAGCGTTAGCCAATATTCAAAGTATCGGCCCCGATGACGCTTATAGTGCAGAGTTAACTGGATATGGTATGTATATCGTATTATGTTTCATTTGGAATTTTAATGTAATGCTGATAAGGTGGTTAGCTGAAATGTAATAAGTCTCAATCTTAAAATGATGCCCAATGGTCAGGATGCAACTGTTGTAACCATAAGTTTAGTGAATAATGCATTGACCTTGGAACTGTTGGAGTTGAATGTGATTCCCTTGGGTGCACCAGCACTGACTGGGATGCAGACGAATCTAGTTGAGCAGCCCCAAACAGGACGGCATACGTTTCCTGTTTCCCACTGCTGGCCGCTATTAACTAAGATCTAAGTACCGGCATCATCGAGGTTCCCATATATCAGCAAAGGCTGTTCAGTTCAGTCCTACAAATCAAGAACACCAAACATAAGGCATTTCAGTAGCAATAACCTACATGATTTCAAAGTAATCTATAGATAGCTTTTATTAGCTAAATTTCATATCAGGTATTAATTAATATCTGCCATGCATCAACAGCTGCCACCTACGCTCAATCGATACTGAAGATCACATGGCCAGAAAAAATAAGCAACAAGAAACTCTATCCAGGCAACGAACCAACCAAGAACCTATCACACAACAAATATGCAGAAGAAAGTGGGGATGGATTGGGCATACACTGAGAAGGCCGATTGGGGATATCACGCACCAGGTCCTCGAGTGGAATCCAAGGGGGAAACGACGAGTTGGGCGTCCGATCTGAGGGTGACGTGGAGGCGATGATGTTAGGAAGAAATGAAAGCTTGTAGGCAGTCGTGGTGCCAGGTTGAAAAGACTGCAGAAAACAGAGTGGAATGGAGGCGTGCTACTGAAGCCTTATGTCCCACTAGGAACCCAAGGAAAAAATAATAATGATGCAAATTAAAACGTTTCGTAAAGGTTTTTCTTAATCATCAAAGTATCTTTATTAATTTGGTAGGCAGAATATGGGTTGTGATTTAGCGTTAATCCTGTACATTATTCATCTCACAACAGCATGTCGATCAACTCTGTCGTTTCACCTGACAATGTTTCTAGTAACGATAAACGATACACACCATGGATGGACTGGTGGGAAGTCCCTTCTTTGTAGAATATTGGTGACGAAAGCAGGCAAATCGCTGTATATGTTGCGCAACCGTTTCGGTCCCCGAGATTTTTTGCGTGGGGAAGTCTATCAAACCAAACCACAGTTTTATATTTTTGCGAAAAGCAAGAAAATATAGATTTTGGAATAAAGCTACATCATTTTATTTCACTGGCTGCAATATCAAAATGAAATAATTTGCATCCAACTGTAGTATTTCTACTACCACCAAAAATCAAGGTGGTACCTACGTTTTTCTGGTTTAGCACGGAGAATACAATACCATTGTTACGATCCTACGCTATATATGTAAGGATGCGACGCTCCGAGACGAATACGACTAACAATAGAACAATCACTTCTCAACTCGATAGTCAGCTGACACAAGAAGACGATGAGACTGAAAACGTATTCACTCCAACCGAATTCTAATAAGTGAAAACTCAGTCGTTTATGTATCATTAGACGGCCTTAGCCAGAGAAAACAAAATAGCATATTCAAAGTGTAAAATGGACCAATCAGCGTTTAGCATTTTAAACTGCGGTAAAAATGAGAAACATACTATGCCGCAAAAAGGGCGCGATAAGGCTTAACTTTACTATGATAATATAAAAATATTATAAGTTAGTTATCTTAGGGATTGAAACCCTAGCAACCATATCTGTATTTTGGTTGAAAATAGGGCATATGGAATAAAAAGCCACAAAGCCATGATCTTTTGTATCCGTAAATTTGATTTAAAAAGTTTGAAAACTTTTACCTGAGCTTCGCTTCATAGTCGATGTATTTAGTCGTGAACGCAAAGTTCTTTGATTTCGTTAGTTCATGCCCACTTGGTCAGCCAGTAGTGAATGTATAATGAATTTTACCGTTACAACACGTAACTATCTGAGCACTGCTTGAGAGAGTGATGACGGGCGTCTCGGTTAATGATTTGTACGAGTTTTACTATTTTTCTTTTACACGTATTTTTTATCCTCTCTATGTGCTTGTTTTTAGACTTGAAGAAGACATTAGCTGTTATCCTAGACGATACACTGCGTCGTGTTGACGAAATAGAACTGAAACTTTCAAATTTAACAGTAATCACTCCTGATAAGTCTATAAAACAAAGTTCTGAATATCATAATCCTGTGTCACTTGTATCGCATACTCTTCGTGGTTTGAAAATGCGCAATAATGAAGAATTGAACTACAAAACAATTGATCACTTAGGTATATACCTTCTTAATAAATTTGTAAGCCTTTTCGGTAACATCGTATTTTGATTTAACATAGGTTGGATTGTAAATGAGCCTTGATCGGTTAAGTACTTACTTAGGCTGAAAAATGACTGAAGGAATATCCTAATTTCACATCCCTATTGTTTCAGATATTTTACAGTGTGGGTTGTATTATCAGACTAATGCTTACGGTTAACAATTATTTGCTATTATACTTGTCATCTTTATTGATTTTAGATAAGGTTAGGAAAGCGACCTGTATACGGATGCTAAAATTTTTAAAAGTTAGTCGAGAGCTGATTAAAATCATAGTGAAAAGGTATTGTCCCTGCTGTTGTTTGTGGTGTCCACTTAAGGTGATATGGATATCACCTTGTTACACTACATTATATCCTTCGACCCTGTGAGCATCTGACTGGTAATCGCTGTGTCCTAAGTTCTAACTCGCCTCGTCTATCTTGGTTTCTCAGGTAATTAGGTAGTATGGTTAGTCGTCATACAGTGGGTCAAACTTTCTGTGTTATCAATGTTTTACAGATTATGTTATCAGAAACTTCACATCTTTTAACTAAGGATTAAATGAAGGTTCGTTTCAGATTTTCACTCGGTGCGTCAGCAGTACACAGGAAAAAACTATATCAAATTCTATATGAACTAGTTATAGGATGATAACCAAAATAACACTTGGTCGTCAAGTTTTTAGCAAAGTAGCCACCAAGGAACTCAAAATCAAGACTAGGTTACATCACATTGTATGTGGTATTTGGTCGGAAGCAACTGACAGAAAGCCGTGAACCCAGTTTTCATGCTTGTTGGCACTCATGAGGAAGGCGAATCTGCAACATTAAAGGGACTGATATTCGACTGACAGACTTTAACCTGCGTCATCCAGTGATCCAGTCAAACATCTCACTGCTGAGCTATTGTGACTGCGATTGAACTCCTGTAGGACTGGATTGGATGGGTGTATTAATCACTAGAGAGTAAACAATTTCACCCTGTCTAGTCTTAAATACTGACTGAATTCATCACGCTTGTGCGAGGTACATCAGCAACCTTAGAAAAAGTCATGCTTCCTTAGAAATTAAAAGCTGTTTCATAATACTGTTTGTATCATCGCTTCTTGTTGGCTCATCGCAAACATATAATGTCAGTTCGACATTCTGGTTCGAATGTGAGTTGAATATGCAGAGATATACATACACACAGCTAAAGAATCTTTTTCTTAGGATGAAATGCACTTTCTGAATTTCACTATTGATGCGAAGAAAGGACAACATTAAATCAAAACTTGAGGCAGTACCGAAACATATTGAAGCAGTTCTTGTGGTAGCAAGTACCGATAGGTTTGGTCCAGCAAAGCAAAAAATGAAAAATAATGAGTAAAAGTAAACAAACTTCAGTGTTTTAGTAGAGGAAAAACAACAAATCTTGTGGAATACGATGAATTCATGATACTTTGCTGCTTTGTTTTCAGTTGTGTACAGGCTATAAAAATTGTAAGATATGTACAGAAAAATCCAATCCCTTATACCTTAGTGATTGAGAGCAACATAGTTCATTGATGAAAAGTAATAAAAGAAATGAAACAAGTCAGATAAAATCTGAATCAAACAAATTAATGATTGAAATTAAAGTTGCCTAATATTTATCTATTCAGACCGTTATTCTGTTACACTTGGCAAGTCTAAAATAATATCGAAAAGATTACATAAGTGTATGTTGATATGATATATACAAGGTTAAAAATCGAGATTGTAAAATTCTTAAGAAATAGGAATTGATTGTGAAATCGGTTGTAAAGGGGGTTAAAATGTGGAAATCTCAAAAATATTTGAAAGGGTTCATAGTGAATAGCAAAACAAATCAATGGCTATTATGGAAATCGGAGACTGACAACTGCCTCTTTTTGGAAACTTAAGTTCGGTTTGATTCTTTTAACACTGGTTGCTTTAGCAAATCAAAGCGAACCAGCATGGTTTTGTTTGTTAATTATTGTAAATGTACTCGATATCTGGACGTCGAGTGTTGTATCCATTAAATGCTTTACAATGAAACGTTTAGGAAAATTTTCCAGTTATTTGAGATGTATTCATGAAATCAGGCTTCAGTTTGTCATTGTGTCCTGACATGTCCCCTTGATAGCAATTTGAGTTGACATGAACCGCCAACCTTTCGATTTCCGATTGTTGCAGCGAACACTTTGTTTTACATAAGGAGACTAACTTCGCTGCTGTGTCAAATGCAAATTCCTTTTCCCTTTTATACGACCTATTTTAAGCATGTTTGTGCACAGTCTACCCTCCGAATTGTATGTGAACCTAATGTCTTGTCGCCTGTAGAATATTTTTTCTGTTAATGCATTAACACACGCACACAATAGTAAACTTCGATCGGTATAAAATGGTTTGCGAAAACTTAAAACTATTGAGAATGATTAATAAATTCATTTCTTATCTAAAAAATAAATTGTTACCTATTGGCATCACAGATTAAATAAAGGGAGATACTTTCAAAATAATACTGAGGTATGGCTTATGTCATTATTACATCTTAAAAGACTGTAACATAAAGCATTAGCAATGAAAATTATGTTCCATATTAGATTTGTTTATTTGATTTATAACACAGTGATCTAGTATTATTTACTTGATGACGTTTCGAGCATAAATTATCACTCATAATCATATCAATGTAGTCACACTACTTTTGACAGTTGATTTTTATAGTTACGTCACTTCATATGAGTTGTTTTATTGCCTACCAATTCACTTAAGTGATTAAAAATGAACAGGGAGAATTACCTATGTTGGGTTGCAGAATAAAATGAAGAACAGACGGTGGCTTGGATACTACTGTCTACAGAAAACCAACACATTCCAACAGGTATCTAGACTTCAAGTCATCCCATCCAATGTCAGTTAAGGCAGGTTTAGTCAAATGTCTAACTGATAGAGCTAGAAAACTGACTAATCAGAGCAAGAACCTAAACAAGGAATTGAAACACTTAAAAGAAACTCTAGTAGTTAGTAATTATCCTCCGCAGTTTATTAAAAAATTCTTACGGACACACGAAAAACGAAAAAATAACAGTCACACGAGTGCGAGTAATAACGACAACACGAGTAAAAAGGAGTTCACAGCCTCCATTGTATTACCCTATAAGGAGGGTACCTCAGAAGCTTTACGTAGAATCCTCAACAAAGCTGGAATTGGGGTGGCATTTAAACCTACAAACTCACTCAGAGATAAACTTTGTCGGCCTAAGGATCCGATAGAACCAATTAAGCAAAATAATATAATCTATTAAATACCATCTAATGACTATAAGGTCAAGTATATAGGTCAAACTAGTCGATCGGGGTCAGTTAGAATAGCCGAACATAGGAATTTAGCTAAATATAAAATATCAGACCTAAATTAGATCAATAATCTAGAAAAAAAATCGGCTGTTGTTATGCGTGCATCAACACATAACCACACAATAGGGTGGAGTAAAGCCACTGTACTTTAGTCCAATATAATTAGATGGAGAGAGATTGCTTACTGAATCTTTGTTCATCGAATCAACACTCAACACATGTAATAGAAATGATGCAACACTTATACCAGAGATATGGAAAATTCTGCTACCATTAGAAACAACTCATATAAAGTGACGTAACTATAAAAATCAACTGTCGAAAGTAGTGTGATTACATTGATATGATTATGAGCAGTAATTTATGCTCGAAACGTCATCAAGTAAATAATACTAGATCACTGTGTTATAAATCAAATAAACAAATCAAATATGGAATTAAATCCTACCACAGTGCCCAAGTTGTACACCTATATTAATGATTGTCATTACATAAACAAACGTGTCATCGATGTACCTATTATACAATGAGGTTTCAAAAATATCTGGAGCCAATGCAGTTCTTTCCAAGATCTCAGTAAACATGTCCACAAGGATGAGTACCAAAAGACCTCTCGTTGCCACTGTATGTGTATGACAATATATTTTGTTTCTGGGTTGGAATTGTAAAAGCGTACAAAAACAGCAGCTTCTTGAGTTTCATCTTGAGCGTGGATATTTCATCTGAATGCTAACAGATAACACTGATTGTTTCTTCTGGCGGTATGTTCGTGAAAGGTGGTAATATTTCATAAGATAACATTATTTTGTCGTTGATACTAGTTTCTTCTATTTTTTATACAAACTGAAATATATATTTCAAACTGTAGACTGCTAGTTTCTTTCAAATGAGGTCTAATCAACCTAACAACCACAACTGTTCTGTTGTTCAGTAGCGTGTTAGTTGCATTTCATAAACTTTATACTCTGACTGGAATTAATTCAGTGTATGAAAAAAAAATTTGTTTTCGCTTTTTCCAGCTCTACTTCAAGATGCCCAAGAGAAATGTGTTGTAGACGCGAGAGATATATCACTGTATCCTGAATGCTTTTCAAAGATCGAGGTAAGTTCGTTCAAACAAATATTGTTCCTGGCCATGCAAGCTAAAGCGATCCCTAGATAGTGTTCTATTAATATTATTTACTTTTCCCTTGGGTTCCTAGTGGGACATAAGGCTTCAGTAGCACGCCTCCATTCCACTCTGTTTTCTGCAGTCTTTTCAACCTGGCACCACGACTGCCTACAAGCTTTCATTTCTTCCTAACATCATCGCCTCCACGTCACCCTCAGATCGGACGCCCAACTCGTCGTTTCCCCCTTGGATTCCACTCGAGGACCTGGTGCGTGATATCCCCAATCGGCCTTCTCAGTGTATGCCCAATCCATCCCCACTTTCTTCTGCATATTTGTTGTGTGATAGGTTCTTGGTTGGTTCGTTGCCTGGATAGAGTTTCTTGTTGCTTATTTTTTCTGGCCATGTGATCTTCAGTATCGATTGAGCGTAGGTGGCAGCTGTTGACGAATGTCCGTGGTTTGTCGGAAGTGCTTTTCGTGACGCGTCGTCAAGTCTATGAACCATATAGCAGCACTGACTTGACTAAATTGGTGTTGAAAATCTGGATCTTGTGCTGAGTGTAGTAGATCTCAACGTTGATTCCAGGTTAATGAAAGCCATGTCTTGCCTTTCCGATCCTGGTTTTGCATCCTCGTCTGTGCCGCCGCCTGTAGTTGAAACGATGCTCCCTGTCTAGGTAGGTGTAAGAGACGAATTCCTTTAGGTTTATTCCGTTGAAAGTGATTGGTGCTTGTTGTTGGTTGGGTATCTTCATCACCCCCATCTTCTCTACTTTCACTTGAAGTCTCGTCTTCGATGCTTCTTCTATCAACTTGTTAGTTTTCGCCAATAGGTCTTGGAGTTTGTGCGACGAGACATTGGAGATGAGTCATCATCATCATCATCGGCGGCGGCGAAATCCAAATCTTCTAGGGTCTTTTCATCGGTCCAGCCAACGTATCCCGATCTTCTCCCTCACAGTTTGTTGCATGATCCAGTCCAGTCCAGTCGACTACAATCAGGAAGATGATCGGTGGTAGTAGGTGACAGCCTTGTCTTACTCCTGTCTTCACTTCGAAGGCGTCACTGAGCTTTCCGTTGTGAAGCACTTGGTATGTAGCATCATATAGCATAGCATGTAGCTGTTGAATGAGGTTGATAGAGGTTTGTGGCACTAAAACCGTAATGTTGAAGCAGCTGCCTGCCAAATTGCTTCTAGGTTGACGCTGTCGAAGGCCTTTTCAAAGTCGATGACGTTGAGTTAGAGAGTTGACTGCGATTCTGCGCTCTGTTCTATGATGATACGTAGTGTTGCGTTGTAATTTGATCCTCAGATGATTTGTTTTGCCTGCAGCTAGCCAGCCAACCAGCCTGTTCCGGTGGTAGTTTTGAATGCGGAGCATGTTTTAGTCTCTCGAGGATGATGTGGCCTATTATTTTGCCTGCTCCTGGTGGACAGCAGCATGACTCCTTGCCAGTTCTTCCAATGACTGAGGTCACTCCTCTTTGGTAGTTTGACAAGGTAACCCATCTTCCAGTCGGCAGGTACCTCTCCTCCCTTCCAAACCTTCTGCAGTAGTGGTGTTGTGTGAGCATGTCCGCTGTTGTCTCTGCATCTGTTTTCAGTGCTTCTGACAGGATTCCATCTGATCCTGCTACTTTACCGGATTTCAGCAATTTTGTGGCATTCAGGACTTCTGCTTTTGTCGGAGGACCTGTGTTCACTTGTAGTTCTGCCTTTGCTGGTGGTATTTGTGGACGAGTTGCAGGTGGTGGTGTTGGTGGTCGATTGAAGAGCTTTTTGAAGTGGTCAGCCCATTGTTTCGTTTATTTCTCCTTTCTGGTAACTAGGTTTCCCTCACTATCTTTCATTGGTTTCGTCTGAGTTGATCTCTCCTCGGATAGTAGCCTGGTCATTTGAGAAAGTGTTGTCAGGTCTGTGTCTCTCCTAGCAGCAGCTTGTTCCGCTTCACTTGCCTATGTGTCATCTGGGTGTCTTTTGTCTTTGCATGCACTCTTCTTCACTTCTTTGTCCAGTGTAGTGTTTTATAGGTTGTGTTTAGTTCCTCTTTTCGTTCGTTATCCTTGCACTGCACTGATTCATCTTCTGCTTCATCATCACCATCTTCCTCTCCCTCATCTATCAGCTTCTTTCTTCTTCCTTTCCTTCCATATATCTTTCACAGAATTCCAGTGTTCTCCCACTGAGGTTTCTTCATGGATATCGCTTAATGTCTCCCATTTTGTCCTGATGACTGGCTGACATGATGTCCTTTGTAGTTTCGTCCCTCAGCTTCTGTTCTGGATGGTGAACTTGAACTGTGTTCTGTCACGAACCTCTTTGAAGGTTTTCAAATTGATTTGGAAGGTTCCTCGCACCAGACAGTGAGTGGTGTGAGCCTACATCTGCTCCCCTTCTTCATCTTGTGTCCAGTAGGCTGCGTCTCCATCTCCACTTTCTTCACATTGAGATGAAGTCGATCTTATTTTTGGTATAGTGTGTCCTGGTGTCTGGAGAAATCCATGTCGCTTTGTGAATATCCTTGTGTTTGTACACACTGCCTCCAATCATCAAATCGTTGAATGCACAGAATTCTGCAAACAATTCTCCATTCTCATTCCCCATTTCACCGAGTGCTTCTCGACGCACGATGAGTTCTCTCCCCATGTTGTTCACTCCGATTTTGGCATTCAGGTCGCCTATTAGAATGAATTTTGATGTCGCCAACTGAGGTCTTGTCCGTTGAATTCCTCCTTCTTGTCTTCATCTGCATTATTTGTAGGTGCGTAGCATTGAATGATTGTGACTTTACTTCATTTTGAGTTGAATCTTGCTGTCATGTTCCTGATAGTGGTAGAGACCAGTTCCCACTGCATGGAAGCCTTCGATATTCTTGGATTCCTCCCTCAGTGTGCTCGTGGTTGTCGTCTGTGTGGCAATGTCGGAGTAGATCATTGACTCTCCAGTTGACAGTTTGGAGAGTCCACTTCCATTCCATCTGCTTTCGCAGATCCCAAACACTCCCATGCCATATCTTCTCATCTCTTTTGCAATCTGGGCAGCCTTGGTAAGTTCATACATGGTGTGGACATTCCATGTCCCCATCCTTACTTTCGCTTTCATCGATGGGAGAGAAGACACATCAGCCGACTGGCTTCCTTATGGTAGGCTTGCAGCAACCGGTGTCATTTCTTCTCTCCGATTCCAGTGAAGAATAAGTTTGCTTTTATGTTCTATATTTTCTTCGTTCTTTGGAGTTTCTTTAGCGATTGGATTGGTTTTCCGGGGTAGGGTTGCTAGCCCTATGTCCAACCTTCCCTGTTTATCCGGGATTAGGACCGGCTAGTAACTATTGAACTAGTTAACCAGGCGAGGTTAGATAGTGTTCTAGTAAGGGTAAATTGTTTATTCTTTAGAGTTTGCATCTATTGCGTTCCATCATCACAGTAGAAACGGATTACAGTTTACTGTGTTATATATGGGTTGTAAAAGTGTTTTAAAACCGAGTAACATTCTTTGGTAAGGAGATTATTAAATATCTGATTTCACTGTTATTAGTAAATGTTTAGCAATCATGGGATTAGCATTGAAAATGGTATTGTCTACAAAGAAAAAATGTGAGAAGAGTGATAATGAAATTAAACCATTTATGCAAAGTTCACTGTTATTCACACTAATTTAGTGATCTTCATTCCAAAGCATATCTTGTAAGCTATTTTGATCAACATATATTCATGCTCACCTGACTGGGAATAACCTGTTCACGAGGTGTTTTCAGTACCTGAGACAATTTCTTCATCATATATTAGAATTTCATGTATTTAGATCCATTGATAAATTTGGATAAAGCTAGATGAACGAAGTTTGCAGAATAAAATATCGTCTTATTTCACGAATTTTCTTTAACTACGTACAGTCTGAAAGTGTAATAGAAATTTTATGCTGTAAACGAATTAGAGGAAGAACTAAAGTTTATTGAGAGGTGCCTTAGAGAGAATTGATATCCTAAGAGATTTATTATGAAGTATGGGAAAGACAAGGTGAAGAAAAACAAACACCCAACTGTGGAAAAGAAAGTTTTTATATACCTTACATTCAACGAAGATTCAGTGTCCAAGCGAATAGACGCAAAATCAAAGGAGCGCTGAGATGGAGCTTTCCTGCAGCCGGACTTATATCAGTATAAAATACTATATGCCAGCTTAACCAGTCCAGATTGGATAATCACCCTGCTCATATCACCTCTAACTGTATTTATGAATTTATATGCACTTCCAGTAGCAAGTACACTGAAAGGACTGGGTAAAGGACCTCCATCCGGTTTGCTGAGTATATCCCCAAGGATATGTGCTTGAAAGTAAAATTCTAACTAGTTCAATCGCCAGACACGTAGACACAGGATATCAAGTTGAAACCTCGAGTGCTTTTAAAATAATTGACGAAAGAAGAATGCCTGAATTACCGCGTTTCACGGAAGCGATTGTGATAAAACGCTTTCAACCTGACCTTTGCATGCAGAAGGAGAGTGTAGTTAGTCTCTCACTCCCTTGGTGAATGTGATTATTTCCTGTTTCATTTTCATTTAATTTACATGGCTCTGCTAATTGATTTTTTTGTCTATTGTTTTTCCTTTCTTACCTCTTTACAATCATTTGTCTTACATGTTATGTGAATTAACAATAATTTCTTTGAAATGCCGTATGTACTAATAACACTGGCCCTTTCTGACTGTATGCAGCTGAAAGGAGTCCGTAAAATAAAATGACATCATTTTATTCCGCGAATTTCGTCCTTCTTGCTTTATCCAAATATACTAGAATGTTTCTTGAATTTTAGTAATACCTAATGATATCTTTGCTTGACTGACTGCTGAATACCCTACCAATCCTGTATGGTAATGGGTCGTTAAACTCATTATCGTTTACTTCAGTCCTAGGGTATACATATTTTTATTTCTCAAGGTACAATCAAAAGCCTCCCATATTAGTATTTTAAGAGAAACGAGGTTATCTGTACTTACCCCCTTCAAGTTATGCCATTGGTTTGGTTCATAAATGTTCAGTAACCAGCTGTAGTGAATGCTGGGTGAACATCATTTATAGTCAACCTCGAAAACCAACAAACGGATTGTTCCACTCTACATGAAGAATGTTTCCAACATCACAACTAGATCATTGCAGCCTTTTGGAATCGCTAAATTTCACAGCCCCACAAAATTTCTTGATTCTGTGTTATGCAGGCCAAAAGGTACAATCGCAAAAGAAGACAAACCAAACATTATCTGCATAATAAACTCCGAAAAACACTGCATCGGACAGAGTGGTCGCCCTCTTCGTATCCCTCTACATGAACATCAACTAGCAATGAAGCTTCATGACATGTCTTCGCCCGTATCAATGCATAGAGATAACTGTGGACATGAATTTGACTGGGAAAGTGTAAAAATCCTCGATACAGGAAATACAAAGTATGCCAGAGGATTTTTAGAAGCTTGGTATTCAGGTCAGTCAGCAATCAAGAGACATATTGACATTCACCCAATCTGTCAACCAATAAGAAACAGCACGAAAGTCAGATTTCAGTTCATCAGGACAATCAATGAAAATAAATTTTGAGACAATGACAAGACCTTGGCAGAAACAACCAACCACATACAAGGTCGTCAGGACAAGCTACTAAATAAATTGTGGGGAAAACTTCATACTTCATTTCTTTTCGAAGTGTGTTGGTGGTGTTGTCTAGACTGACAATGAACGCTCCATGATTAAACTATCCAGCTCAGAGAACATAACACCATCAGAACTGATGAAATCGCAATCGTCGTCACGGGTTATGAAAAGGCTGCAAATAGTCAACAACTGTTTAAGAACTGCCGTAAAAATAAATAATTCATTATTTAAAAACGTAAATAATAAGCTCACTGACATGAATGTGTTTCTTTAACGCACCTAGTGAAACTCTGTGTCAGAAACTTATTTTGAAAACACACTGTCTTCTGTCGCATAACGCTTGCCCATGTTTCTTCGTAATAAATGTACAATATGTAATTGAACTATGTGGTCGTGTCTAGTGATGATAACTTATGAACGTGTGACTAAATGCTTTGTTACTTCTAATTTTAGTAACAGAGCTGTACTATGGTGACACAGTTACTCAGTTTTTAGCCTAGTACTTAGATTCTCACATCACTCTGTCGGTTTTCCCACCCACGTAGTATGGCAGATACTTACCATCAGCCACCAAAAAAACACCATAAATATGCATAGTCACTGAACTTCGGACAGTCGAAAATGTAGTGTTTACAGTTCATATAACAGAAATGGTAAAATAGATGACCAATCCTCAGTTAATGTGGCTTAGTTGACCACGAAACTCCAGAAACGACTCAACTATCCTGTTTAGACCCATTTTTGTTATTGATAGAATGCCCTAGGCAACAGTCTGTCAAGGTTGGGTAAGGAGAGCATGATACCAGCTTTGGTAAGATTGTTTCCGTGCTAACCTTAAGGTAGTTAAGTTGATAAATATAATTAGTCCATAAAGATTGTGGTTGATTTCATCTGTGTGAACGGCTGCGGGTTTCTTCAACATCGCCCTTGAAGTAGCTGTAAACTGTTGCTATAAACCTTTGAAGTGATGATATAGTAAGTAGTCGCGTATCTTTATAAAGACGATATTCTACGATTTACGTTACTCAGAAGTTCGTGTTTTGCAATGAGCTATCAAAAACGATTGGTATTGGGAATTTTTTGTTCCTGTCTACATAGTTTTTCTTGCCGTTGATGACCTAATGATGCTGCTTAATTCTTTTGCCTGTCACTAAAATTTTTTGATATATCAACACAATGTATACTGAATGACTTTCAATTGTTTTGTAATATGTAATTGACTATATGCAGATAATTTTACTATTGATATTATTTGTTTGTTTTCATTTCTAGTGGCTACGATCCGGCTGGACTAATCATCAGTGTTATACTGAATTAGGTGTAGATGGATCAGAATGTTCATTTGTGAGGTATCTTAGTGAGGTGAGATTTACATTTTCTTCTTTTTTATACACTCACATTACAATAGTGGAAGGAATTGGTTATGTGCAATTCGTTGTTAAGTTTTTCCATTTATAAAATAGCTCATATTCATTGTAGCTAAAAATGAATTGTCAGCTTTTAGAAGGTTGAAATGTATTTGTCCTACTTTGATGATAGAATGGATACTGTTACATTTTCTTACATCAAATTGTTAAACTGAGTTAGTAGAAAAGGGAAGACAAAAAATTAAGAATAATGAGGTATAGCATGAGTTTATGGAGGTGTGAATAAAATTCTATTCACTTGTTAACAGGATATATGACCTATTGTGTACGGCAGCTACATTAAAAAAAAAAAATTTTTATTCCTGTTTTACATGGTGTCATCGATTGGTTTTTAGTCTATCAAATTGAAAAGTTAAAAATGAAAGTCGCCACTAGTGAATGTCACCTATTGTTGTTGTATTAGAGTTATTTTTTTCGCTATTCATTGGACAAAAGAGTGATATTATTTGATGGAACAGTGGACCTACACTAAACGAGATGCATGTCAAAGTAACAAGTTTCATGCACAGTCTTTAGATCTGTTAAAAGTAAGTGTAAACACGAATTCATATTATCACACTAAGCAAAAAATGTACCAACCGAAAAACAAAGAAACAATTGTGTTTGAGATTGATGAAAATGTTGGAGAAAAAACCGAAGGAAGCAGTTTACCGTTCGGAATAAAAAATAAGCAGTAGCAAGATTTTCGAACTTCTCTTTCATTTTCCTCCATCATCCATCCAAATCAACATAGGACCAGGCATTACTGCGTAATGGTCCGAGTTGCCACAGTTCATATCAGTACATCAAGTAAAAAAGGCAGTGAAATGGAAAATGAAGAAAAAATTCAGTCAAAAGAAGTATAAAGTACTAAAAGAGGGAAAGGAAGGAAGAGAAAATGGTGAGATTCGGTATAGCGTCGTCAAGATGAGGATAATGTGTATATACATCTGACCGATATTGCCTAGAGTCTCCAACCACTGGTTTCTCTTGCCCCATGGACCCCAACCGGCTAGTCTGCATCGCCCCACATGACTCAAACCAACAGTCAGAGACTTCATACATTGATGTCACGTTTTAGTCTGGCAGTCTCGAGCCTTCTTTCAGCCTTAACCTACTTCGACCAACATTGTGTGACGATGTAGACGGTGACTAGGCATACGTAACACATATCGCTTCTCTGTACTGATATGTATTTGAAATTTGAAAATGACCTTTGGAGTACTAAAATCTCAACAGAGATTCTTCTGCAAGGCACCACTTTTGGCCGATTCCTTGCTTTTCAAGTAAATGAAAAGAAAGACTAATATTGGAAGAAGTGTTTATTGATAAACATTTCTCATGGTAATGTTCAAGCCCTACGGGTTAACCACAGTCGTGATCGGTACACGCATGCTCAGTTCGCTCTTCGAAATTCGGCTCTGGTATTTCACACAACTAATGTGATACAACGACGATCAGTATTTCAGGTACGATCAACCATGGGTGTTTTCTGTCACAATTTTCATATGAACCGTTTAAATCCTTGTTGATATTTTAACGATAATGGCTTTATTCTGGGGAATGGAAAACTATTAGTCCTAAATACTTTCTTAGAGAACCAAGCCAGGTAATCAGTCAGATTATATAACCGATATCGAACTTCTCCGTTTTTGAATTAGAGAAGTTATGGTTACCAGATCCAAATACAGTTTCTATATCCCCATAGTCTCTGAGTGTAAATGTTTTATTTCCGTGGAATAAGCTGAAGGCAAATATTGTAAGTAATACGGTAACAGATTGTAAACTAAATATCCAACTACTCCCTCCCACTTTGTAGAATGACGCCGTACATTATCCAACTAGCATACTTCATTTTGTTAATATCACTTTGTGTTGTGCTTGACCCAAATACAATTGTTGCACTTACATTTGTCGGAAAAAAATTCTTTTTATTTACTGATTTTATGTTCAATGTCTTATTTCTTTTGAATAAACCAATTAATATGTCAACATTCATATCCATTAACTCCACTGAATTGTTATTCCGTAGTGAATTCGTTTTTGTTTCTGATGCATTATTGATTTTACTGGCATTATGAATAATGATCGTAATGAAGTCATATTCCGTTTTGCATATGACCTTTTTCATTTATATTTATCAAAGTTTCATTTGATCTAATCTGTCTCTACATTGGTTTTAGTAAGTCAGCTGACTGTCTCTTTCTCTGCAAAATCTCGTTTATGTTTGTTTCAAACAAAGACAACAATAATTTACAGGACACAATAAATTCACACCGCATTTTATTGGCCTTCATTTTGCTTGTATACAAAACTGTCAAGAATAAATTATCTCGTCGGGTGTTTTTAATTATGTATAACAATTATTCGATTATCGATACTTAAAATCTTTAGCATGGACTTTGAGTTTGTGAATCATTATGTTTATTTCATTTTAAATAAATTTGGCTAACATGGAAACCAAGGAATGCGCCATACGAAATAATGTAGAGTTAAAAAGACATGAATGGAAGGAGAAATAAAGCAGGACTGCAGTACAAATTGAAGTTGGTTATTGAAGAAATAGTCTCATACCTAAATCCGAAGATGCACTCAATACTTTCATTTTACTTTTCCATATCGGAAAAATATCTAAAGCATAATCATTATTGGTTTCGATTCTGAAATATATTTCCCATCATTTTAAGCTGCTCAGCTGTATGGTCTCAAGGACCCTATCAAGTTAGTCGTTTACAGATAATAATCCAGTGCTACCGTCCTTATTCGTACACTGACCATCACTCTCCTTCCTTTAACCAGTTCTGGAACAAGTGGGTAACGTGGGAGCCGCCGGAGTATCATAAGTAATACATGCCGCTTCACCTAAGAATTAGTTACGCGCTATTTCCCCTGGAAGTAAGCAATCCATTTTCGCTCTTATCCTTATCTTCACTTCACTCAGCCGCTCTTCATTGTTTAGATTTATAGTCTATCTGTATCATTTCCAGTCTCTAAACAGTTGCCCTCACAAAGCTGTCCCCTAGTGCGACATCTGACACAGCTATCCTGAAACCAAGCATACCGTTTCAGCTCGCCACCTTCAACGTTCGCACCAAGGTGTAGATAAAACAACAAACAGGTTATGTTAGGACTCTGGAAAGCCTCGTTAATGATGTATGCTGCGTCTGGAAGACCCACATCCAAGTACACAGTGAAGTGACGTTGCACAACTCGACTGGATCCCCATCAACAATCGTTCGTGTACCGTCAGGCAAGGGGGTTGGTTTCGAGTTAGAAGTAACCGGCAAGAGAAACAATGCCTGTTTGTCATCTATGCCTATGCTCCGATGGAAGGTAGCCTGGATGCAATTAGGGATAAATTATTATTATTATATTATATTATTTGTCCGTTGGGTTCCTAGTGGAACATACGGCTTCAGTAGCACGTCTCCATTCCACTCTCTTCTCTGCCATCTTTTCAACCTGGCTCCAAGATAGCCCACAAACTCTCATTTCCTCCTCACACCATCTCCTTCATGTCACCCTCAAATCGGACGCCCAACTCGTCGTTTCCCATCTGGGTTCCACTTATATTATTTTGTGTGGCGCATATCTTGGTTCTCTTGGTGTACTGTGTTTGTGTTCTGATAATAATAATAATAATAATAATAATAATAATAACAATGATAATAATAATGTGAATGATATTCTCTGCATCCTGCTATGAAATGTCGTAACGTGAAGTGATGCACTCTGGTGCCAGGTTTTACGTTGATCTGTCTGTCAGAGGAGTATTTAGGTGTTTTAAAATAAAGAGTTCACACGGAGACTATAATTCTAAGGCATTCCAACATTTTTGCATGCATTGATTGGTCAGTGAAGTGGAAGGTGTCAGAAAATACGTAGCAATTCATCAGGATGCAACTCACTCGTTAATACTAGTATTTTGCGATAATTAATAATACGTCTGGGACCTTAAAATGTTTGTGATACCACTGGAAGATCTTTGATATGGCTATGAATTGATGTATTGAATTTGGGCACTGTAGTAGAATGTAATTCCATATTAGATTAGTCAATGTGATATCGCATATGGTGAATATAATGCTCATAATCATATCAAATTTGAAGCAGTCGTTTGTCTGATTATAATAATTCTCGTAAACGTTTAGCTTCTTACTCTTATGAATATAAATGGTTATACTTCAATTCTTGTTCTTCTAGTTTCATATTTATCTCTGCATTCCTTACACTGATGAATTCTAAATGTAAGTGTCTTATCGGCGTAAACTAGAGATCATCAGTCATACATATTTGCTTCATGCATTGGAAGCAACTAGATTTATTGTGATATCTTTACTACTGAGAAAGATGCACATCTAGTTATTTGAGCCGTCGTCTGGTAATGCATATCTAGGCATGACCGCATAACATGCTGCATACAGAGTTCACCACAAAAGTATTTTGGATGAAAGGAACTCAAAACATTTCACTTCAGTCGATTTACTAGGTGTATCATGCAATGAAAAACTGTTTACTGGATTATCTTTCTGAAACTATTATCCATTATCATATCTAGGTAACTTTATGGCCTTGAAATACTTCATATAGTTCTAATTAGAATAACATTCTACCATAGTGCTTAAGTTTTGCTGTTGTAGTCCAACAAATGGATTTATAGTTAACTACTAAAACCTACACATGACTAGAGACTTCGAGATTTTGCATCATCATGCTCCCTGTGTACTGATATTTAAATGGCTTTTTGAAATTGCATTTTATTTGTGTTATTGTGTCAAATTCATTTTCATGTGTTATATTTTGTAAATAGGTCGAAAATTTCTGCCCTCCATTGGACAGCAGAAGATTTTTCAAATATCGTCGGAAAGCAGAGGTATTTATAAGTTTTGGGTGTTTGATAAAATTACCAATACTATTGATGTTCCCTACTTTTCGAAAAAATTCCATTTGTTTTTCATGACTTGTTAAACATTTATATGCTTTAGGTTTACTAAAATAATGAATTTTCTGTCATTAAAATTGACATACGCCCATGTGAACAAATAAGTGTATTGTATAGATTGAAATGATATAGCAAGTTTTTGTGAATTCCTTAAACTGACTAACAGGTAAATAGAAACATAATTGGTGATTATTAGTTTGCAACTTCTACGTTCATTTGTTTCATCTGGTTTATTAAATAGTCGTAAATTCGTAGGAACTCATGCAGCCACACACAACCCATTCAGATGCTGCCAACTTAACGTTAACAGTTGGATCTGCCTATTTCGCTGACCGAGTTAGACAAATCTGGTTCAAACGCCTACCTTTCAGTATCACGTCTTGTAGGAAATATAAATTAGAAAGTGGTAAAACTACAAACATCTGTCGCCGTGATGTTCATTATTGCACTATAATGGAAGTTTGAGGACCTTATGGAAATGTGCAAGTAATATTCCCTTGTTGCCAGCCATCAATTTTGGTGGCAGTGGTCTTCTTGGTTCTCGCTGAGGAAGGTTTAGTTTGGAAGTTTCACTCATTTCCATATACTAGTTCCTGTATGAAACCGAGGAAGTCACAAATTAGATGTATCACAAAAAGCTGGGGGATGAAACTGTAGTAGTTATCATTAAGTCTTCGGTTATGTATGCGAGTCAGGCTAACCAATAATTGTACTCTGTGTTCATGCACGTTAAAATGTACACTTATGGAAATGTGCACAACTTGAAGAAACTGTTGCTTGTATGCTTAGTACTGAAAGCAGTCGATTTTTCTCATTTTTGTTAACCGGTCTCATTTCCAAATTACCTATTACTTCTTACCACAAACTTATCGACGTTGTCTTCGACGTCTGCATTCACGACTGTAAGTAACCATTTGACGCTGAGTGATGTCGTCTATGGCCTCCTAAAATGCGTCACATACTTTATGTTGAAATCTTCATTGTTCGCTTTCTGCATAAAATAGAACCACAGCGAAAAGTTTAGCACCTCAAGCCGCTAATGTATCTTATAGTTCTGTTCTAACCGAAATACTTTTCGCTACTTTACTTGCGCATTTTGTAATTCTACTCCTTAAAGGCTTGATAGGCAGTTTTCGTTTTTCGGTTGCAAACGTGACCATAAGTTTCCTGACAGTCAGTACATTTCTTGACTGAGTGCTGATGTAAGTTGATTGCTAATAAATGAGATCGTTAATAATAATCTCTCTGATGATCGCTCGTCTCGTCAAAACAGAAGAAGCGGCAAATCATTAGAACACAAACTAGGTAGAACTTGAATGCTGAAAGATGTAGTATACAAAGTGTCAAAGCAACACTAAAAGGACGCAACAAATATTTAGAAACAGTGGCAGCAAAACATAAATAGGTTATTATAAGTAGCAGGTTCAAAAGTGCATCTGAAGAAGCACTCATTACTTTTGTCTTACTTTCTTTTGTGTTAGTTAGTTTTTCTGTTCTTTATTTCTAACCAGGGTTCCCCTTTTTCTTTAGATTACTCGAAATCTCGAGGGACTACTTAGTCTATTGGCTTCAGATCAGTATCATTCAGTGTCTAAGTCGTTCATGCGTGCACGACTGAAGCGTATGTGGCCTGACTGGTTAACAGGAGTTCAACATTATATAAATGGTTCTACGTCACAATCTAGTTCAGCAGATCATTGTAAACATTGTTCGTCTGCCAACGAGACTTGTATTGCCCGTTGCAGGTCTACCAGTTTTGTAGGTCAACCAATTTTGTTTGGAAGACCGAAGCTTAATGTAAGTATTGAGTTATTTGACACATTCTTTGTTGATAGATCAATCGGTGTAACGCGGAATAAAGCCTAAAAATGCTAAAAAGCATCGCTTTCTGCACTCTATGGACTACACTATTTCAAATTTTACAGTGACCTAGGTTTTTCTCATCTTAATTCATCATCCCCCCACTTGATTTACTCTGAAACTGCTAAGCACAGTACTCACTACTAGTAACTGGAAATATTCATTATTTTGATTCTCTTCTTTCCATTTCTATGTCTGCAAATGAAACGTTTTCTCCATCTTAGGTAGAGTTTTGGAATATATCCCTGGAATGGGGTTGGAGGTGCTTATCCATGAATCTACAGCATCCAGGTTGCTTACTTATTGGCACTGAACAGTGGTATTTTGGGGACGGTTCTTTACCATGATATCGAAACCCTTATGAATTAGAGCTGTAGTCAGAGATATTGTACTGAATTCATTGGAGTAGTATAAGTTTTTTATCTGTACCCCTGTCAACTTCCTATCTTGTATGAAGACCACTGTGTCTCAACCTGGAAAAATTAGTACTTCCTATTTGAATATAGTTTCTCACCACAGATATCGTGGAAGTGCACTCTCAGTGACAAATGTTTACATGACGAAAATATTTTCTACTCACTGAAAAGTGAGCATCACTTCCTACGAATTAGTGTGTATATCTATATCGGAACTAGACATTCAATTGGGAATTACTGTTTTCATTTTCATACTCTTCATGTTTTGTGCTAACACTCTTTTCCTGTCAAAATACTGGATGTGTCTTTGAAAGATACCATCAACCGATTGTATATATATCCATGTTGCTAATATACTCATTTTTATTGACTAGACTGTGGACAAAAAAGAACGTTAAACTGAAGTACATCCTTCATCCAGTCCCACTTTTGACGAAGTGCATTGCTAAAAACTATATTTATGGCTGTTTTGTCATGCAAAAAGGTATCTTTAGGTGAATTGTGCACAAGATCATCACATATATCCTCATACATATATGCAGCTATATGTCTTACAGTAAAGCCTTAGGACGGTGTAAGTGAGAACAGTTTCCTTAGTAACCAGATAGGATATTTGTGTAGTCATAATTTCAGCCTCGTATGACCACTTTTTTTACCTATTCACAAAATGCCATGAGTGTAACCCAACACTATTGGACCTAGAATGAATCTACATACAGTCAAAGAGATTATGCTGGTCTTTTATGAATTATTTTTTAAGTAAACTATCTTTCACTTTTGAACTGAGAGTCACTCACTTTTATAAAATTCAAGCGGGTGGATATCCATTTTTTTTCCATTTCGAAGTTTTCACCTTTTCCAAACACTGAGTGACGCTTTTAAGTGTAACTCCATCCAACTGCATATTCTCAATAGTTTTCACACAACATATATGACTTATAGTCAAACACAGAATTCTGTAGATGATTGCTGAGTTGCATTAGGATAATCGTAGTTGTACTTATTCACATATGTTAGCTGAAATGACAGTAAGGATATATGGGTAGTTAAAAAACCCGAAATCTTTAATGCATACTGAAATTTAGCAATGTGAAGACTGTAGACAACCAGGCAACAACAGTGATTCATCTGGCTCTGTGCCACAGTAACATGTAACTATGTTTTTTGAAAAACTAACTGTTTGGAACTATACATAGAATGCCTGGTTAACTAGTTCGCTAGTTACTAGCCGGTCCTAAACCCGGATAAACAGGGAAGGTTGGACATAGGGCTAGCAACCCTACCCGGAAAACTAATCCAATCGCTAAAGAAACTCCAAAGAACGAAGAAAATATAGAACATAAAAGCAAACTTATTCCTCACTGGAATCGGAGAGAAGAAATGACACCGGTTGCTGCAAGCCTACCATAAGGAAGCCAGTCGGCTGATGTGTCTTCTCTCCCATCGATGAAAGCGAAAGTAAGGATGGGGACATGGAATGTCCACACCATGTATGAACTTACCAAGGCTGCCCAGATTGCAAAAGAGATGAGAAGATATGGCATGGGAGTGTTTGGGATCTGCGAAAGCAGATGGAATGGAAGTGGACTCTCCAAACTGTCAACTGGAGAGTCAATGATCTACTCCGACATTGCCACACAGACGACAACCACGAGCACACTGAGGGAGGAATCCAAGAATATCGAAGGCTTCCATGCAGTGGGAACTGGTCTCTACCACTATCAGGATCATGACAGCAAGATTCAACTCAAAATGAAGTAAAGTCACAATCATTCAATGCTACGCCCCTACACATAATGCAGATGAGAAGAAGGAGGAATTCAACGGACAAGACCTCAGTTGGCGACGTCAAAATTCATTCTAATAGGCGACCTGAATGCCAAAATCGGAGTGAACAACATGGGGAGAGAACTCATCGTGCGTCGAGAAGCACTCGGTGAAATGGGGAATGAGAATGGAGAACTGTTTGCAGAATTCTGTGCATTCAACGATTTGATGATTGGAGGCAGTGTGTACAAACACAAGGATATTCACAAAGCGACATGGATTTCTCCAGACACCAGGACACACTATACCAAAAATAAGATCGACTTCATCTCAATGTGAAGAAAGTGGAGATGGAGACGCAGCCTACTGGACACAAGATGAAGAAGGGGAGCAGATGTAGGCTCACATCACTCACTGTCTGGTGCGAGGAACCTTCCAAATCAAGTTGAAAACCTTCAAAGAGGTTGGTGATAGACCACAGTTCAAGTTCACCATCCAGAACAGAAGCTGAGGGACGAAACTACAAAGGACATCATGTCAGCCAGTCATCAGGACAAAATGGGAGACATTAAGCGATATCCATGAAGAAACCTCAGTGGGAGAACACTGGAACTCTTTGGAAGAGATGTCGAAAGAAACCTGCATAACCGTAATAGGAAGATAAGGAATGGATCTTGACGGACACATGGAAGCTGATAGGGAAAAGGGGGATGGTAAAGCAGAAGATAAACGAGTGAAAGGATGCACAACGAGTAGAGGAAATGAGTACAATGTATAAAACACTGTACTGGACAAAGAAATGAAGAAGAGTGCACGCAAAGACAAAAGACACTTCCACGACACACTGGCAAGTGAAGCAGAACAGGCTGCATTGAGGAGGGATAGAGACCTGACAACATTATATCAAATAACCAGGTTACTATCTGGAAGAGGAGACATTAGCACAGATGAAACCAATAAAAGATGATTACCAAATAGGAGAAACAATGGGCTGACCACTTCAAAAAGCTCTTCAATCGACCACCACATGCAGCTCGTCCAGAAATACCGCATGCAGCCATAGAACTACAAATGAACACAAATCCTCCAACAAAAGTCGAAGTCCCGAACGCCATAAAGCTACCGAAATTCTGCAAAGCAGCAGGACCAGATGGAATCCTGTCAGAAGCACTGAAAACGGATGCAGAGACAACAGCGGACATGCTCACACCACACCACTACTGCAGAAGGTCTGGAAGGAAGGAAAGGTTCCTGTCTGTTGATTGGAAGAAGGGCGACCTGAGCCTTTACAAGAACTGGCGAGGAGTCATGCTGCTGTCCACCCAAAGCAAGCAAAATATTAAGCCACATCATCCTCGAGAGACGAAAACATTCTCCGGATTCAAAACTGCGACCGCAACAGGCTGGATGGCTTCAGAAAAACAAATCATGTGCGGATCAAATTGCAACGCTTCGCATCATCATAGAAAAGAGCATAGAATGGCAGTCAACCCTCTACCTCAACTTCATTGATTTTGAAAATGCCTTTGACAGCGTCGACCGACAAGTAATTTGGCAGCCAGTTGCTTCAACACCACGGAATATCGCAAACCTTTATCAACTTCATTCAACAACTGTATGATGACACCACATGCCAAGTAATTCACAATGGGAAGCTCATTGATGCATTTGAAGTGAAGAAAGGAGTAAAACAAGACTGTCTTCTATCACCCATGATAATCCTGATTATGGTGGACTGGATCATGCAACAAACAGTGAGGAGTGAGAAGAGGGGGATACACTGGATTGAGGAAAATATCCTAGAAGATTTGGATTTCGCCGATGACTTGTGTCTAATGTCACACAAACTCGCAGATCTACAGGTGAAACTCAACAAGTTGGCAGAAGTGGCAGGGCAGCGAATACGGGACTTCAAGTGAACATAGAGAAGACAGAGATGATGAACATACCCAACCAACACCACCACCACCAACAACAACAAGCTCCAATCACCATCAACGGGAGAAACTTAAAGGAAGTAGCCTCTTTCACCTACCTAGACAGCACTTTTTCAACTTCATGCGGCGGCACAGACATGGACGTCAAAGCCAGACAGGATCGGAAATGCAAGACAGGCGTTGATTAACCTGAAACCAGTGTGGAGATCTTTTGCACTCAGCATAAAGCGTGAACAAGACCCGGATTTTCAACACCAATTCAGTCAAGTTAGTGCTTGTATATGGTTGAGAGACTTGGCGCGTTACGAAAGGGATTTCCAACAAACTACAGACATTCATCAACAACTGCCTACGCTGACTCGTTGCTGAAGCTCAGATGGCCAGAATAATAAGAATAAGCAACAAGGAACTGACTCTGTCTGGTCTGGCAACGAGCCAACCAAGAAGTTATCGCTGGACAAATATGCAGTGGAAGGAAGTGGAGATGGATTGGAGTGTGCATGCACTGAGGAGACTGATTGGGGACATCAGGCGCCAGGCCATGCCATGCCAGGCCGTCGAGTGGAACCCAGATGGGAAACGACGAGTTGGGCGTTTGATTTGAGGGTGACATGAAGGAGATGGTGTGAGGAGGAAATGAGAGTTTGTGGGCTATCTTGGAGCCAGGTTGAAAAGATGGCAGAGAAGAGAGTGGAATGGAGACGTGCTACTGAAGCCGTATGTTCCACTAGGAACCTAAGGGACAAATAAAATAAAGTAATGATACTTCTGTATTTATCCTCTACCAATAGAGAAGTTGCCGTAATGAATAAAAACTCAGGCAGAGATCATTTTATAAGGAAGACTGAAGTGAAAATGACGCATGACCTATCAATTTAATCTAGCTTTTACTTCAACATATTTGATACGACGGTTAATACTTCACTTCTTTCTCAGTAGTTTCTGATTTCCAGGGTGCATCTTGTATAACCTACTAATGTTTTCATAACACTATGACTGTTGTGATTCTAAGTAAAATATTCAACTACTGGACACTCGCTGTCATCTCTTTCATCTCTTTAATGCAAGGGCATTTTTGGAATGTACTTGGTTTTTCCAATTAGCTTGTTACATTTCTTCACGTGACTTTGTTTTGTCTCTTTTTTTAGATTCTGCTCCATTTAGGATTCTTAACAAACGGAGTTGGCTATAGCTTTGAATCACATATTGCTAAAGGTAATTACACGCGCAGGTGATTGTGTAACGTAGTTCTAGTTATTATTTGACGTCTTACTTCTGATCTCTCAAGTAGGTTATTGAAAAGTTATTCATATGCATTAATGCATTTTGAATAATCATCTACATTAAAAATCTTTATCACTCTAAACTTTACACCTACTTTAGGCTTTGAATATCTTTTCCATTGACTATAGCAGAAAATTAGCTTCTTCAACCTTTTGATAAATGAGAAAAACAATAAAAGGAGCAGGGTGCAGAAGGCAAGTAGTTTTATCCACGTCTGACTTGATTAAAAAAACAAACCGTCAATTTCTTCTTCTAGCTTCCAGGGAATTCATTTACGACAGTCTGAAGTGCACAAGTGTGATGCACAATATCAGATAACTTCAGAAAATCAGAATGAAACCAAACGTATGGATTTGTGAATGCATTGTATGTAACATCTTGTGATATTATTTGCCTTTTCATATCGTACTTAAATGAATATTGGTGCATGTGCATAGGCTGTATATTAAAACTATACTTGCTAAACACATGAATGCGTAAGTGTGCAATTCGATAATTAAGGCAGCTATACCAAAATATCAAATAGCATAATGTGTTGTACAATAATATTCTCTGCGCCTTGGGTCTATTACTTTATTTTATCTTGGAGGTGAAAAGCTTTCTGACGAAATACTTGAATAACATTGTATTGCGACATTTTCTCAGTCTTGCTAGTTTACATGGAAAACCATCAGAAACTGTGATAAGAAATAGTCGAATAAGTGAACATGCAGTTGTTTATTTTGCGATGCAGAATCAAAGAAATTCAGAGTATTTTTTGTGATGCATTGATGTTAAAGAATTCAAATGTTTATTTGATTTCTCTTGGGAAATATATATTGAATACAAATTATTTCAATGCAGAAAATTTTCTTTTCGACGAATCATTTTCAGCTACTGTACAATTCTATTTATAGTAATAGCAATCAAACAGATTAGTCTATTATTAGCTAATGCGTCAATATTAGGTCATCAAAACGGAATGTTCTGGGGTCAAATAGTGGGTCGATTGTAGGGTTAGAAAAGGACTGTGTGATCAAGAGTGTATATGAAAAATATGCAGTGGATTAATGTGATGACTAATAGGTTAAAAAGTAAATAGGTCAAAAATAATAACACCAATTTTAATCATTAATCAGAGTAAAGTATTGTGATGGGTGAATGGAGCTAATGGGTGATGGGTGAATGGAGCTAAGTTATGTGAAAGTAAACCGCAAATTGAAAGTAAAGATAGTGATAATCAGTCAGTAAGCGTAAGATGAATATTGAAGCAATAAAGAAACTCAGGAAAGGGCTATGACCACGGCAAAATACAGGAATGGACGTACCTTTTAGAATTAGAAATTTTAAGATTGGGATTCTGGAGACCATTGATTCTTAACCTACTACAACCTACGTTTTATCTCGACCTCAATCATCACCATTTCTGCACACTAATATCAGTCTGTTAACCAAGGCTATCTTGGCTACTTCGATTAAAATGCATTTGTAATTACTCATAGATCTATGGTTTTGGGTATCAACGAGATTAAACGTTCAAGTAGTTGGAAAGAATTATGAGCATATAGACCATAGTTGTTACGAATGTCCCGGAAAACGTTGAGCACTCATTTTGATTTAGTTATTATGAGAGTATATTTCGATGAATTATAAAGAATTCTTAATTTTTTTTTAAGCAACTAACGTTTGGGTTGAATATACAAAGCTTTACTTTGTTTCGTTATTTTCGTACATGTATCAACTTTTGATATCTCATTTGTTAGTAGTTTTTCTTCGTTAGCTTTCACAATATAGTCGTTCATTTTTACGTCCCTCAACGTTACACATACTTTCATAAGTTTTTCATACTCACTTTATCAAATATCTTTAGGTGGTCCCCTTGGTGAACTCGTTCAGTGGACTGATCTGATTGCTGCTCTTTACATTCTTGGACACAATATAACAATCACCTATGAAGTTGCTGAGGCGAAATTGTAAGTGTTATTCTTGAAGTTCGTGTCCTACGTAAAAATCTAATAACATTCTTTATTGCTACGCGAGTCATCTCTTTCAGCCTTGTATTTTCCCCCAAGCTTATTTTCCATAGCCGTAATAATACTAATTACTATAACCTTCACCACTGATTCATAATTATATTGTGTTGTTTTTGTTTCTCTGATAAATAGCGTTTTAGAAAATGAACGCTTAAAAGTTTCTTGTTCGTAATAATACTGCATTAAATACACACTTGAAACTTGGTTGAATAATCCAAGTAATTTCCACCTTTCAAGTTTTACCTGAAAGGTGCTGTTGTAACTTTTTGACGTCAGTACTCTATTTTCAACCAGTGCGTCATGCTTTTGAAGCCTACTAAAGTTTACAAATCTGGCAAGTAATAATAGCTTCCTGGTGTTTAGTAAAGTGCTTTAGTACATTGCACTATTTTTTACGCATAGCTGTATCAGTTTAAAATCCATCAACCTGGCTTTTGTAAGCTGCATATTTACTATAATCAGTGTAGTTAGATAATACGAAACGGTAGCTCATTATTTTGAGCTTTTCAGGCTTTCTGTTTCCTTTTTGACTGCTTTGGTTTCAAATAAATAGAAAGTCGCATTCTGGTTACAATATGTGTAAGCGATGCATACTCCCACATTTGAAAGAATATTTTGCGTTTTTGCGTTTTTTATTATAAATGTGGTATTAGCTGGGGGAACCATATTCTGGTTAGTCGACTGTCTACCTGTATTGATATTCTCTTATTGTTCTCTTTGATTTTTGACCAACAGGAAGCTCCTTAATCCTTATCTGGATTTAGTCCCGTGTCAGGTAGAAGGCAATAAATACGATTTGGTTTACACAGACATTATAGGATACAAAGGAATGAAAAAACATAAAATTCGGTAAACTTCTTATTTGTCGATTTTATTAATATCTATTTAATTGATTGATTGTTCACTCGGTATTCATCTGATTTATATATAAGTTCACCTTGGCGAGGTCAAGGAAATAATTCATATCAGTATCCCGTTTACTGAATGATAAACCATGCGTATATTCTGGGTATTATGATACGACCTGTCTGCCTAAACCTAGATGTATGAAGACAGGTAAGATCTACCGATGCGTTTGCTGAAATTTACTTGGCCAATTCGGTGAGCCTACTGGTGGCAGTTGACAGAATGTAGATTTCGAATCAATCCAATTTTGATAATATTCACAAGCCTAATTTTCCGTGGGTATAGCATTTGACACTATGTGATAGATTAGTATATGAAAGACAACAGGACAATAAATTTCATTATAATTCCATAAAATGAATTAAATCAATAGATCAACAATAAAAACACCAAACTTAAGATTAAAGCAGAACAATTAGCCAATGAATAAACAATTATTGTGTATCCAACATACATATTATCTCGTGATAAGTGAATTCTCAAGCTAAATATTACCATTTCATATACCGCTGGTTGTAATGTATGTTAGGAAATAGCTGATAATGCTAATCAAAGTAGAACCTGGCACAGACATTCATCGTTACCACACTCTTGACACGTGCCTTTATCAAGTTTAGGGAAGCTTCATAAGAAGTAACGTCTACCAATATTTCCTAAGTGTTTCGAAAATAACTTTTGGCAGTATCTGACAAGAAGGTTTTCGAAAATTATTCTGCTTCCTTGTTCGTGTCCAAGTTCTACTCCTATATTCACCTATGCGTTCATTCTTGCTGTTGGCTTAGTAGTGAAAAAAAAACTGTTTTGTGAGTTGCATCCTGATGAATTGCTACGTATTTTCTGACACCTTCCACTTCACTGACCAATCAATGCATGCAAAAATGTTGGAATGCCTTAGAATTATAGTCTCCGTGTGAACTCTTTATTTTAAAACACCTAAATACTCCTCTGACAGACAGACCAACGTAAAACCTGGCACCAGAGTGCATCACTTCACGTTACGACATTTCATAGCAGGATGCAGAGAATATCATTCACATTATTATTATCATTGTTATTATTATTATTATTATTATTATTATTATTATTATTATTATTATTATTATTAGCATCTTACATGAAGGTAGGCGGTGGGTCTAAGCCACCTCAGTCAATGAACGTTAGGCACATAATCAATCAACTTACCTGTCTTGTTTGGTACCATTCGTCTGACTTCAGCATTGCTCACATGGTGTTTCCAATAAACGCGAGCAATGCTACGAAGACATCAGTGATCAAAACCTTGTATCCGCCTCTTGTTTTCTTCTTTTAACGGGCATGTCTCAGCCGTGCAACACAACAGGACGGACTGCAGCGCAGTTTACTCGTGCCTTCATAAACAGTAGGATATCTCATCAGTTGGTGTCACATATGATGCAGGTTGGCAGGATGCCAAACGGGCCTTCTATATTCGAGCTGAAATTTCATCAGCAGCTAGCCGGTTTGGTGGTCTGATGTAACTCCGAAGTAAGGGAAGTGGTCGACATATTCCACTACTTCACTCCTTATCCTTTAACTGAGGATTGTGCATAGCATCATCTGATATTTGACAACTGCTAAGTGCATCCCAAACATACTCAGACTTCTGCCTACCGCGCCCGAAATGCCCTGCATTTTGTCAGCGTCCTCACTTATCAGGACAATACTATATGCAGACTTCAAATCAACCACATGACCCACAGGGAGTAGATCAGTCCCTGTGAAGTCAGATGGACCTCACGTTGTTTCCATTGGTATGTCTTCGACGAAACTAAACTTAACCCTAACGGTGAGATTGGGCCACCCTGGCGAACTCCACTAGTCATTGCCAGTTCACATAACAACTCTCCATAAGCCCTGACACGGTTGAATGAGTTCGACTGGAGAGCTTTGATTAGTTTTATATACTTTCTCGATACTCCCTTCACAGTCAGACACTGCTACAACACCCCTTGGTTGACACAATCGCATGTGACCTTCAGGTCAAGAAATGTGGCAAGTGCCGACCATTGGCCGGTATGTCTGTGTGTGTTCCAGAACATGTCGGAGAGTGAAAACATGATCGGTGAACCTTCGTCCAGGTCTGAAACCTACTTGCTTTTTCCGAGTTTGCCGTTCTCGATCTCCAATTAGGCATCGGATAACTATGGACCCTAGGATCTTGGACACGACATTAGTCAAACTGATTTCCATCTGATTATCACAAGAAGGTTTTTCTCTCTTCTTTGAGACTGGGATGATCACAGGAGTAGACCAGTGTCACAGCACTATCTCCGATTCCTATACACTACTTAGCACCCCTTCCGTCGCTCAAATTATCAATTTCCTACTTCCATCCTGAAAAGTGTCGAGCGGAAAACTGTCCTGTCCTGCTACTTCGCATAATTTCACGTTCGAAACAGCCTTCTCAACTTCAAGAAGATTTAAAGGACTGATATCTACTTTCTATTGCGGTTCAGACTGAGTGTTGGGCAACTGAAGCGTCGCTGACGGCCATTTGAACTGTGTTTCAAAATGTTCCGCCTAGCGTTGTAGCCACCTGCTCGGAGAAGTTATCAGGATACCATACTTCTTAATGATGGTTTTACTCACCATCGTTTCCTTCTTGGTGGCATCCGTAATAAGCCTAAATAGTTACCGAGTTACTGATGCCTTCTTCGTCCACCTCGCTCTCACCACCCACCACTGCTGGCAATCGATGCAAAGACTCTTAGTCAACTTAAGTTTAAGTTTTCTTTCGTTTTTCTTTGTGGTCAGAATCTACTGACTGAATATCACTCTAGGTTTCCTTAGGATAAGCATTGCCATTCAGATAAATGCTCCATTGTTTTATCTCTAAATACGTACTAGGCGTCCTCATCTTCCAATCGAGTACAGACGGGCTTTAATATCGCCTGTTTCCTACTACCATTAAGGTGGTGATATAAGTGAGTCCGTACTAGCCTATGATCTTGGTCTAAACTGGTACTCCAGAAAGACCTCCAGTCCTCCACCGATCCTCTCTTACCATGGCTTATCATAGTAACATTGTCTATCTGCGTCTCTTGTTTGTTTGAAGTCGGTGGACGCCATGTGAGACAGTCTCTCTTCTTATGCTTAAAATTATTGCTTATCAGAAACAAGTGATTGTCAAAACTAAATTGCAGAGATGGTCACTCCTGTCGGTTTGTTTTCCCCTTACACGGCTGTGTAATTTCGAGTGAAGTAGCTTGATCACTATATGTAATGTACTTGCTAGGCAATCTCACTGCGGTCAGACAGTCACGACGCCTCTCGGTCGACAGAGTCGGATGCACCCTTGAGGTCAAAAATTATGACAAGTATCGAGTGACAATAAGTATGTTCAAGAACCTGTCAAAGAAGGGATGTTCATTCGATCTTTGCTCGTTCAGGTCTTAAACGTATGAATGGTTTCTCCAGTTTTTGCTGTTTTCGAGCAGCAACGAGGAGTGGGTAGTCAAGAAGTGATGACCGATAAGGCGATTTCCTCTTTATCAACTGTATTAGCTGCTAAGTTTCCCAAAGTTCCAGTGATATTACAATCGAAGTAAAGTATTCCAAATACGAATCCTACTTCTCGCTCCCTGCAATCAGGGTCGCCTCATAAACATTATTCTAACGTGACTTCTTTTTGAAGGTTTGAAGGTTAACATTGAGAATCACATGGAAACTCTTCTAATTATAACTACTGGTTAGTTCGGCCACCAGTCAACCAAATATTTTGGTCCAATGACTCATCAATTCGGGTTACTTCAGTTTGATCTTGAAAACAATTAGTCCCGTTTATAAACTTGGACAAAACAATAAGAAGAAGTAAATTGTCTGAACCGTGTAATGTATTTGTGCAATACATTTTGAACTGTCTGACCACACACGTACTTATATGAAAACTCATATCAGTACTTATGATAAGTGCGTGTATGATCAGATTGTTTGATTTCTTATGATTTGACTATCTGTCTGAGATAGCCGTAGTTTGGCAGACTAGTATTTGTACTGGGTGATGATTGAAGGTTAGATGAAAATCTGGACCGCGGCCGAATTCGATGTTTTTTCGATGATTCACTAAATATTTTGTCCCATGCATCAATTCTGCTCAATATGTTTTTTGCTTTTCTAGTGTCACCCTTAATTTTCCACAACATTTCCACACATACAGATACTTTATATACTTTTTGATGACAAATGACAAATTAAATAATAATGAGTCTGAACAAAAGATCAGCTAACCAATAGCGTAAAGACATAAAATCGTACGTGTACAATTTGACAGCATATGTTTTGACGTCGAGTAAAAATCCGAATAATCTGCTGAAAAAGCTGAAGCATATACAACAAAACGTCCAGCAAAATCTTGTTTTGATTTTCTAAACACGTTGCGATTATATTACTTATATAATGATTAAGCCTGACTCGACGCTCAACTTCTTTCAGGACATTCTTAACAACTATGGCCAGTATGTTCATGACGCTTAATTTAATTCATTTTCTTGTACTAAAGCATTATTTTCTGCTTGAGAAACATTATAAAGTTTCTCAACAAGTCATCCTAGTTTTAACCGAAGCTAACTCTCACTTCGTATCGTCAGTATCGATCGTCCAGATCAAGTGTAAATAAATGTTTGTCCTACAGCATACACATGAGAGGAAAATAAGTTGGAGAGCAATGATGAAAAATAATTTTTTTCAATCACACGTATGAAGAAAGTTTGTGATTTCTGTCATTGACAGAAGAGTCTCTTTGTAATCTCTGCTTACGCACCCACTGACTGCAGCTCGGATGAAGTGAAGGACGAGTTCTACCATAAACTGTCTAACCTCCTCTCGAAAGCCAAACGTTCGGACGTAGTGGTTGTTGCAGGTGACCTCAACGCACAGGTGGGTAGACTGAGTGAGGCAGAAAGGCACTTAGGTGGCACTTTCGGAAT